GCTGGCTATAACCTCAGCATCTTAAATACTAAGATTATAGCCATACAACTAAAATTTGTAAATGTATAAGGAAACATGATCAAAGATGTTTCTTCACAGAAAATGACAATGAGCTGGCAGTGGTGGCGCATGCCTTTAATCCCAGCCCTTGGGAGAGAGGCAGGCAGATCTCTGTGAGTTCATGGCCAGCCTGCTCTACAAATTGAGTTCTAGAACAGCCAATGTTCAAAGAACCCAAGAGAACGTGACAATGACTACATATATACAGATAGGATGTTACATAAAAAATTGCAGTAATTATCGTTCTAAAACTCAATTCCTCTTTCTAACAAATGATACAATAAAGTGTGCCACTGTATTCAGATTTTGTTATTGTATCTACTTATTTAATCTTCTCTATGTGTATGTGTATAAGCATGACTAAACCACGGTGCACCTGTGGAGTCACAGGACAGCTCGAAGGAACAGGTGCTCTTTCCACCATCAAGGTCCCGGAGATGGAACTCGGGTTGCCAGTCTTGCTGAAGTGCTGTTACCCCCCAAGCCATCTCGTCAGTCCCCACTGTGTCCATTCTAGTGAGAATTGCTTCTTTTTTTTTTTTTTTTTTGGTGGGGGGGAAACCTAGGTATTAAACTCTGGGCCTTGTATATCCTAGGCAAGTACTCAAACCATAAGCTACATGCCCAGTCCCCATTTGATGAGTTTTGACAAATTTATGCAATCCATTTAGCCACTGCTGTAGGAATCGATGTACAAAGCAGTTGTGCTGGCTACTTTTATGTCAACTTGACACAAACTAGAGTTATTAAGAGAACCTCAACTGAGAAAATGCCTGCCTAAGATCACTGGGCTGGTGGGTCTGGGTTCTATGAAAGCAGGCTGAAGAGCCAGCAGCAGCACCCTCCATGGTCTCCTGCCTCCAGGTTCCCGCCCTTCTGAGCTCCTGCCTGACTTCCTTCACTGATGGACTAGGATTTGGAAGGGTAAGTCAAATAAACACTTTCTCCTCCCAAGTTGCCTTTGGTCATGGTGTTTCATCACAGAAACAGCAACCCTAACTAAGACAGCTGTCAAGACTCATTTTAATGTAAAATAATCCATCTTCCTATAAAAATCTTTATGGTAGACGATAATAAAAACATTAAAAGTGCTAATTAGGT